ATAATTTAACAAATAATAGCTTTGCAATTATGTTCATTCTTTATGGGATGTCGTCTGCTTGGGCAGTATTGATCCATATTTTGACGTCATTAAACATTGTTATTTTTCTGGCGAATCTATCGTATATCCCATCTGCTATGGAGGTGGTTGTATTTGTAGTTTTATAAATCACCCGATATGTAGTTGGCCTAAAATCCGTACGACGGCCCTCTGTTAGCTTACCAGTTTCTAGTGATACATTAGTTGACATAATTGTGATTTTCTTTGAATTTCACTTTTAATATAGAATTAAACAACCTCCCTCATCGCTCGTCCCTCCTTCTCTCTCTCCCCCCCCCCCCTCTCTCTCTCTCTCTCTCTCTCTCTCTTTCATTCCGTTTATAACTTCTTCTTTTTTTTTTGGTTCTTGCTGTGTCCTCTTCCATTATATTCATGCCTCTTACAGCGTTTCAAATGTTCTCCTTTGTAGTGCGGGAGTGTTATAATAAACAAGCTTCTTCCTTTTTAAAACTCCTACATAAATTTAATATGCCCTCATCGTTATTAAGGTAATGCAATTAACTTGTATTAATTGTGTTACGTTATCCATAAAATAAATATGTGGAGACAATAACACTTGATTATTTGAAAACAGACCAATGAAACTTAAATTGAATCTTCTGCATCCATCGGATTTATTTTTCTCTATATTTGCCAATTCTACGTTTGCCATTAGCAATATCTTATTCAAGAAACCTTAAATAATTATACTAGACTTTTAATAGGCCTAGTCAGTAATATGATATCATGATCTTTTTACAAATCATCGTTAGTTTGATTTAAATCATTAGTGTCAAAGTTTGATTGCAATTTAATATTTTTAGAATAATAGTAGTTCTCATTATGAAAAAGAAGCAACATCAAATAGATTCACAATCATACCAATTTTTCTTTATCAAATGTTCATACTAGGCTTATAAAGAAGAAAAAGGTGATTTCCTTTAATCCATTGCAATAGTATGCTTAAACTTAAAGGTTTGCGATTTAAATAAAAGATAGAGATTATATAAACATCGAAGGAATACATTTATATGTATACAAATACTGTATATGCGGACTTATTTCACATTCAAATCTTAGAAGTCAATAAAACATTAATGTTAAACAAATAACACAAAAGGTAACTACAAACATCAAATTTAACTCACAGCTTTCACTCAATTTTTCAAATGTACTTCAACAATTCCTTTTGGTAAGTCATATTTTCTTTTCTTTTTAGACTTTGACTTTTGCTGTATTGTATTCCTATTCTATTTCTGATTTCTCTTTCAAACAAATGTTTCAATACAGAATCTCTTTTAGCTTTTTCCAGTTTTGTTGCGTTGTCAAATAACTGAATGTACACTCCAGAATGGTATGGTTATAACAAAAATTAGCCGGCAATTACTTTCTATTATTAATATGTGCTAAGTTATATATTATAACACGTTGCATATGTAAATATAAAAATGTGATTCATTCACATGGAAAATGTTGACAATTAGCAAAGTTATTGTAAACTAGACATTAAAAATATACCCTTCATATGTATAATCAACACAAACATACGCACACACCCACCCACGCACGCGCAAGACCAGACACATACGCACACATATATACACTGTTGCTCACGAAGTTGGAATAATTTTCCTTACATCTTTTCGTGAAAAAATTGTGGCAATATGATTTATTCTTGACAGAAACAGTTTATATCTTCTCAGAACTTTATTGATGAATGACCCTTCAGATTAATCAATACAGTTCTAAGAAGGTATTAACTTTACCTATCAACAATAAATGATTCTTTCACAATCATTTCATGAAAATAGGCACGGTAAAAAAGATTATTCCAACTTGGGGGGCATAATACATGTACATATGGGGTCAGGCCAGCTGAGGGCATCGCAAAACTACTTGGTTTTAATCGAGAGTTAAAGCATTATGATAATAATGCTTTATTTGTTTAAAGAATATGCATTGCAGCCCTGTGGCTAAATTGTACAATGTTTTTACAAAAGTATTTACATGATCGATAATACACTAAGTAGAATCATAAAAAGACAAGTTAACAATCTTACTACAATTGTAAATTACTCATGAGTGTATTACACACATGTGAGTCTACTATTAAGTGAGTAGTACGTTTTAAATGTAAAGATGAAGGTTCAAAAAAGTATAGTATAGTGTGATGTAAAGGATGACCGAAAAAGAAAGAGGAGGGGAGAATAGTGGAGAGAGATAGTGAGATGGATTAAGAGAGAGAGAGAGAGCGGGGAGAAAGGTACAAGGAAAACAGAGGGAAAGAGAGGGAGATAAAGAGAGAGAGAGAAAGAGAGATAGAGAAAGAGAGAAAGAGAGGGGTGATGAAAAGAAAGAAGAAAGGGGGTGGATGGTCATCTACACACAACACTACTATGAAATAACACAAACATTGGCAAACGTTGCAAGGTAAATTAGAAGTAAGTTCCACACAGTGTATACACAAAATAACCGACAGAAAGTTTAAAGAATATGCTGTTCAATGTACGAGATCGGTTGCTATATATACTAGGACCTCTTAATATTCACAAATATCATGTTTTATAAAAAGCTAAACCTGTGGACATCTTTTTACAAATTTCTACCAAATGATCTTCAAAAAAGGAATTTTCAAAATACGTATTTGTACTTGCGATAGCCAATTCAGCACTCTTGGCCAGATTTAACACAATTAAGTCTCTATAATGTCCCTATAGCTTGGTTGGCTCGGATCCGACCATCGTACAGCGTAAAAGATGTAGCTGCATTGTAGTATGGCTGCATAATCCGAACGCTTAATTTCACATGTCCAGTGTAGACGCATACAATCCTTCATCCAAGTCATTGAGAGACAGGTAATTCTGTGTAAATTAAAAGAAAATAAGGAAAAGAAGAAGCAACGATATTTATTTGGTAAGGACTAGAATTGTTTTCACGATACCTGTTGAATTCTTAGTAGTAGGTCCATGGTTGAACAGAGGTTAAACATTCAAAATAATACAAATGGATATGTAATAAGGACACTACATTTTGCATTAGACATGTGAGAAGAAGGCATATTCGAGTCCATCTTACATGAGACTTTTCTAGAATCGTTTCCAAACTCTTGAGGATCTGATCAAAGTTACACCGATGTGTAGCTTCCTTCTCCCAACAACCAGACATGACCGCATGCCTGAAAGATACGTTTAAGAGACGATCGTCATCTAATAGAAATCTAATAGAAAAACTGAAATGAATCTAATAAAAAGACAAATATACAATTAAGACAGATTCAAGGCTCATGTGCAACAACATGTTCAATAGTATTATTTCATCATTTCATGCGCACACCCATTCCGAGTCGTTTCATTTAACTAGGAGTGTTGAGACGTATTATTTTTAGATTCACATCTAGATTCAAAGGAAAGAGAGCAGAATCAACTTTAATCATATACAGTAGGCTTGCGGGTGCACCATGTGAAAGAGAGAGGGTGGATTGAGGAGTCCTGAAAAAGGACTCTCGGTAATCTTTCTTGAGGGTTTGTAGTCCTGAAAAGGACTGTTGGTATAGTCTTGAAAAAAACTGTTAGTTATCTTTCTTAGCTTATAGTTCTAAGGAGAAGTATAGCGCTTAGAGAGGATGAGTGGCGGGAGTGGCTTGACGAACTATAAGCTAGGAAAGATAACCAACAGTCTTTTTCGAGACTATACACTCTAAAAATAGAGTGCAACATTTTGCTGTGCGAAATCGCTGTTTAAAAAAGTTGGGTAAAGTATTACCCAACCTTGTGCCAAACACCAAGTCCCTTCGAAATTTCATTACACTTGCCATAGTGTCATATCAAAATTCGACTGTGCGCATTTCCGGGGTAAGAAAGTAACGATGCAGATTAATATTTGAACCACGCGTTGGGTAAACACAAGTTTTGACACCTAAACGTTAGTATTATGACACAACTGATGTTAAAAACTATGATTGAAGCGCTAGCGTGGTCGGTCGTTTCGAATTAGCTGTTCATCGAATTAATCGTGTTCAAGATCGACAGAGGATGGACGACTTTGTTCGAAATAGTCTACGATCATGCACTTGTGTCTTTCCGCAGCATTTATTTGCATTAATACGTGTAAATCTTCTCAATATGGACATGAAATTCCTCATAATTCTGGACAACACATTATTCGTATGGAGAATGTCATCCGCGATGCAGTCGCCTACTGCGAGCACGCCAAGCGAAAGACTGTCTAGCCAAGAAAGAGAGAGAGGTCTGCTACTTATACACTACACTATTATAGCATGTACTTTTCCAGCCAACTCCTCGGACAAATTTTCTTTTTTACCCAAATCTGTGTAAAAATAAAAAATCATACAATAAGGTTGGGTTAAAATTTTACCCAACTTTTGGGTACAAAATTACACAAGAACAAAGTAAACGAGTACCTAGGATGAGTTGGGTAAAAATGACCCAATGTTGTGTCAAAAAGGGAACATGGTTGTCGTTGGGTAACATTTTACCTTTTACATTGGGTCAAATATATTGCACATCAGTTGGGTAAAACATTAAACATTTGCTGGGTAAATTTTTACCCAACCACCCCTGTGTCAAATTTTACCCAACAAACATGCATGTTCCCTTTTTACCCTCGTAAAGTGTACAATTTTACCCAATATTGGGTATCTTTTTTTTAGAGTGTACCAACAGTCCTTTTCAGGAATAGAAACCCTCAAGAAATATTACCGAGAAGCCTACTGTATATCTACATCACCATGCAAGCCGATACTTACAAGCAGCATCTAACTTTAATCATGTACCTCGGAAAATATATTCGCATTTGATACTTAACATTATCATTAAATCTAACAACTAATTTTGGCATCGAGTGAGTCAAGAAAATTATGACATTTACGGAACAATAAGGAAAGACTGCTCAGATAAGTATTATTTACACTTCTTGTCCACAATGGCGAGGGCGTGGCATCTGGTATCCATTGGCAACCTCCTTTTGGACAGTTTCAAAGGTCATTTTAGGGTATGGCCTCGCACCTTTAAGAATCAAAGTAATAAAACAAGTCAAACATTTAATCCATTATATGAATATAAGACATAACGGTTTGGAGAGTACTCTCTTCTTCATATATATATATATATATATATATAATATTGTTTCTATCAACATTATTTTTATAGTACAGGCAGAATTAGTGGACATTTAAGACTAAATGTTATTCCTATCTGTAACAAGTATTTTAATAGGAACAATGCAATAGATCTAAAATCGTTATTGGTGGGTCTTAAAGAGTAGAATAAGCATTTTTTTTATTCGTCATCCCTAACATGCATTAAACAAGTTACAAACATTATCTATTTGATTACATGAGTGCATTGCCGATATATATTACTTCAACTCATATCATACAAGTGGAGGTGTCGTGGTATAGTGGTTGATGCTCTTGGCTCTCAATCTAAGAATTGGTGGTTCGAATCGAAAACTGGCACTAACGTCCTTGGCAAGACATTAATTCACTTTTCCACTCTCCTTCCACTCATAATGGGAGGACCCTGGTGAAGAACAGCTGTAAAGCCCATAAGGCTTCCTACATGAAGGACCTTATGGTACACACAATTATATGCGATATTAACATTATTTTTTCACCTAATGTCACAATTTCCCACAAGACGATACCAAAAGACCAGATATCATCTTCTGTTGATTGGTCACCAGTATCCATGGTTTCAGGCGAACTCCATCTTGTTGGTTTCTGAGATGTTGGTAAGTATTTAAAAAAGGTTTAAAATTGTATTCACTTTTAAGTTAGAGTTAATAATCATTTATTCATGGCTTAAAACGAACCGTGATTAGCAGACAATGGCTTAAGTGTTTACAATTTACAAGCAGATTTGCAAATACATCAAAAACAATATTGCCTATGCCAAAAATGAAACAAACACCACGGTAAATAAAATTGCTGATAATCAGGGTGTATTAATATAACAATTTAAGGGGGAAATTGCTAACGCGATAAATCATGAAACACATAATTCCATGTTGACGTTTTGGTAGTTTCAAGATTTTCCAATATGTTCTGTCGATTAAATCATTATTAAAGATGTGCCATCCATCTCTATGCTAATGATAATTATAATCATTAAATAAGGTGATAATACTCACACCTCTGCCGCTTAACAGTGATGAAGATAGTCCATAATCTGATAGCTTGCATTGCTTTTTATCAGCTAGTAACACATTGTGAGCGCAAAGAGTTCCATGGATGATCTTTAAGAAATAAAATAAAAACATAATGATGAAAATAAAATAATAAATAAATAAATAAAAACTACAATTACAAAATCTGGATGTTATTTATTCACAGGTCATCACAACCATCCTCATACCATACTGGCTTACTCTCCTTCTATTCTTATCCTGTCTTCTTCCACTTTTGTTAATTCTCATCCTTTTCGCACTTATCCCCGGCCTCAATGTTCGAACTCTCAACCACTCCTCCCCCTCCCCTACCCATCTCCTCTTCTTTGATGCACACGGCATCGAAACGACATCCCGTTGACTATTTGCCGAGCCAAGTTGAGTAGACTGCCTTTATCTATTTATCTCCTTCTCATGCAGGCCTACTTAATTTATCGTTATTTTTCTCCTCTGACCTCTCCCTTTCCCTTCCCCCTTTTCCTTTGTTAATTCTCTTCTATTGCAAGTCATGAGATAATGTTACCTTCTTTGATGCAAGAAATTGCATCTCTTTTGCGATTTGCCAAGCCAGGTTGAGTAGACTACCTTCATCGATACGAACGCTCTTTGGTTTGAGATTGCCGTATGTGGGTTGGGATTGCACCCCTGTGGTCTGAAGATGGGTGAGTAGGGTACCTCCAGAGATGAACTCATACAGAATGCTACCTGCATCATGGGAAATTCGTTCAATTGAAGAAATAAATGTATGAAACTGATATATAGCATTATGTTTCATTAGACATCATGTTATATAATATTCAGCTTTTATAATACAAATGTCTCTAAGCGCTTTACAGATATACCATTACCCCGGTCATTAGATTCAATACTTGCCCGCACACATAGTGTGCACAATCTCCACTCCCTGTTCAGGAAAATCCCCTACATTAATCATTAATTTTACTTGACTGTTGTATAACTCTTATTCAACTGATTGCGAGAATTGCTCTAAATGTCACGTCCTTCTAAGTTAGTTATAGTGACTTTTGCAAAGGTCGTTCCAAAAAATTAGGGGAAAATTGTTAATGTTAACATTAATATGTATTGAATTAAGCAGATTAAAAAGAAGCTTTGTAATTGCGGGCGGAGGTGTTTTTACCTTGTTCTTGACAATATCCTAGGCACTTGACAACATTCGATTGATCCGGTAGCTCAGAAAGGACCTTGACAGCTTGAAGAACGTTCTTTGATTTGGTCACTTGATCTAAGAAAAAATACATCCTATATATATAACTACCACATTTGCTTTCAATTTCGAAGGAAGTGGTGGGCTAAAGTCATAGCAGAACAAGTCAATCAATCATCGTTAATAAGATCGAGTGAAAACAGTGTATACAAGTGAATACAGTATAAATATACTTATATATATATATAGATATCTATATGTATATATATATATATATATATGTGCGTGTGTTTGTGTGTGGTGTTACTTTGTACGTTTTTTGGGGTCCTACTAAAATATAACTTTCTAGAAAGCTGATGGTATCTCTGTTTATCAATGATAACACAACATCTCGTAAAGTTCGGTTTTAGGCTACAACGATATTCATCAAAGCGATTTGCCTTTCGGTATTTTTTACTCATTATTTTTTTTATAGGGAGTGGTTGGCAAAACCTCACCTGGAATCTGCCTGATAGCAACGTCTACTTGACTTTGATTCGAGCGGAGTTCTCCCTTCCATACCCCTCCGAAGTCACCGCGTCCGATTGAACCAAGTCTGGTGAAAAACGTCACGTTTTCAGGAGCAAGGATGGGGGAGTGGGATGGACCGAGTTTGAGAGATGTGTATGCTATCAAAACAAAAATTGGATTATTATTAAAAATATTCTAATACTTGAAAGATCAAATACAAGCAATCTTTCACACTCTAAAACAGGGATAAGGCTACCCTTGGATAATCTATTCTACATTTCTTTCAAAATATAAAACGAAAGTGAAAGAGTATTCACCATGAAAGTATTTATAATTGTGTGTGTGGTTATGGGAGGGGAGGTGAATTTGCAATTCAAAATAGCGTAAAGGTAAAATTTAAAACCTCAGTCAATTTAGTAGGCCTAGCAAGAATCTGATCAGAGAGAATAATGAAGCTCATAACCTTCCCTTTGGAAAATATACTATACTTGGAATAATTTAAATACAATAATGTCATTGATGGCTACGATGTATTGTACAGTTTGGGGCAAAATGATTATCATTGAGTATACATTATTAAAGATAATGGTGAGTTTGGGTCATCTGATTGCATTGTGAAAGAAAAAGTTTGGAATGGATCAGAAATAGTTGATTATGTAGCATGTAAGTATTGGTGTGTACTGCAAAGTTCTGGAGTCATCAAAATAATAATAAATTTGGTCCAGTCTTGGTAAAGTAACAAGCACTGTACACAGAAATATGTATATGGGACTTCACAAATGGTGTCTGGGCTACCAACCTTGATTTCCTAATGTTTCTATGCTCATTACTCAGCCAGTATACATTCTCTACCAAAATTGTTTGGCAAATGAAATTTATTTGTAATCTTGAACATTCAGTGTAAGTTTCGTCGGATTCTGTGAGAATTAATTTTCTTTTTTTGAACTAGAACTCACCTTTATCTTTAAGTAGTAATTTTGTAAAATTATGAGAGTTTTTAATGTTTGTTTGGCAACATACAAAACAATAAGTATCTCCACTTTTTCTGTTGATTGAATGAATTAAATTACATGTTTTTTCTTCGTAGTATTCTTCATTATAAACATTGGGACGAATTTACAGATTTTCTCACCTCTATCTCCGTTCTGAATCATCTCATACGCCGGGTTGTCGTTTGCCTCATGAGATACGTGTCTTTCTTCTCTGTGAAAAAAAAATTGTGAAATGTTTCTCAATAAGGCGTTTATATTGATAATGTACTGTTTATTGTACAGCGCCATCTCATAGCCATCTCACATAACTAATTTCCAAGTACTCGTATTGGAGCAGTTTTGCTCGTTTTATGTGTTATTGTGAATAGTTAATCCTTTTTAATTTGCGAAATATATCTTCATTCAGCGTTCGAATTGACTAGTTTTCAGTACCCTTGAATTTGAAGAGCTTCATATAGATACAAACTTAATTTTCACCTCTCTTGTTAACATATTTAACATTTAACCACAAATCCCATGATAAATGTATCGTCTTTAATTTGGTGGTTTCTCACATTATATTACATCCGAATATTGTTGTGTGTGTATGTACTTGCGCGAGAGTGGGCGCATGTGTTTGTGTGATCAATTATAGATTCATTTTCTGTTCAATATTTCGAACTGCTAAATACTAACCTAGAAACGGTTTTCGATGACTCTTCGAAACCTGCAGAAAGAAAAAGAAGAGGAAGAAGCAAATATAGAAACTTTGATGAATAATTTATATGCAGAAAATAGGTATATGACATATTTATCAACAAGGAAGTAAACTTTAGTCTCAAGTTAATAGATCGCTATACTTAGGTATTAATATGGTATGGGTAAATACATTCAGGAAAGCGATAGATTTTACGATATGCAAGGACAAATACCTTCGCTATCAATTTTCAATATCTTGTTTCCTCAAACTCTTTAAGCAATACCAATTCAATATTTTCATGCCCTATATTAATGGTTTTATCCTCGTTTCAAAGTCCCTTGAAGAGTAATTAAAGCTGTCAGTCCTGCGGTTGCTTATTTACAAGCATACACATACATATTTAGCAGTCAGGTAAAACAAATCATGAAAGAAACATTCACGTGGATTTTCTTGATTCCATCTTCAACAATTTTATTGACGAATATATTCACCTGGTCTGGTCTCATGTCTCCTCAACATGATGAATTGAATAATGTTGATGATGACAGAAGCCACTAACAGGATTGCTAGGACAGCTATACCTGCAGACGCCCCTGAAGTCAGACCAGTTGGCACACAGGTGCATGGTGTGAGATCTGGATGATGATCAATGTTTCATACAAGATCTAAAGACACAAGCTTCTAGATAAAATCATCATACCTATGATTAGTTTTCTACAACAACTCAGTGGTTGTATATGATACATTCTAACGGGACGATTGCTCCGGATCCATTTAATACACTAACCGAATCATTTGCTTCAACCCTATACTAAATACTATACTTAAGCCTAACATTTATCTTAAACCTAACCTAAACTTATCGCAACCGTAACTCACACCCTGAACCTAACATAAAACCCAATCGCAGCCATAACCCTAGCCCTAAACCTAACCTTATACCCTACCTCAACCCTTACCCTTACCCTTCACTCTAAACCTAACTTAAAACCCAAATCGCAACCCTTAATCTATACTTTTGACGAAAAAAATACCAGGAAAAAATTTCGCCGAAGCAAATGTAAAACCAACTAGAAATTTAATTCGTCACGAAGACGAATAAGGTGGTCTGTCTAAGTCTTATGATAGATTTGAGAATGGGAGAAGTTATATAGACATGTAAACAATGATGATCATGATGAACATGATGATGATCATGATAGTAAAGGTGATGATGATCATGATAATGAAAATGTTATATGATGATAAAAACGATAATGTTAATGATGATGATGATAATGATCATGATCATGGTGATGTTGATGATCATCATCTTCAGACCATGATGATGATGATGATGATAATGATCATGATCATGGTGATGTTGATGATCATCATCTTCAGACCATGATGATGATGATGATGGTGACATTGGTGATGATGATGATAATGATGATATTGATGATGATGATGACGATGATGAGTATGAACATGATCCTGACATCTGATTGACAAAATGAGGAAATATTTAGATAGCAAATAATCTCAGCTACAACATACTAAAATTTGGGAGAAAACTGTTGGATAATAACCGAGATACTGGTCAAAACACATTGTCATGCAGATTCATGTTTTGAAAAAAGTGACCTCCCATAGACATAACACGCAAATATGACAAATTATGCATTGTCGCCTTTAATCGAATATTTTACTATGATGACGTCATCTAAATGAAAAATAAATGACATTTTTCTGATAGAAAATTATCTCAGCTACAACG